CCGCGTCGCCGGCCCCGGCCGGCCTGAGGCGCCGCCCGGCCGAGCGAACGCCGTCCCGCCGCCTTTCCTTCGGCTCCGCCTCACAAGCTCCCTAATCCTCCGCTCCGACGCTCCACTCGACTCCGCGGGGGAGCAGACCTCTTTAAACTGGGGGTCCCCGCCGACTAAGCCCGGCTGACCCCCCAGGAAAGCCGCTATTTAGGGGTTTATCGGGAGGGGACTGAGCCTGACGAGGCTGCAGGGCCGCGAGGCCCCGCCCCCCCCGCGGCTCCCAGCATGCCCCGCGCGGGGGGAGGCCGCGGCGGAGGGAGGAGGCGGGGCCGAGGGAGAGAGGGGCGGGGCGAGCCGGAGAGAAGAGCGTCGGTTTTGCGACAGGGGCGGGCGCGGTGCGGAAGCGGAAGTGGAGGGCGCGCTTGGCGGCGGCGGCGGGAGCGGCGGAGTCGGGAATCAAAACAAAGGGCCTGGGGGGGGCGGGGGGAAGGTGGCGGGGTTGGAATGTGAGCGCCGGTGGAGCCCGTGGCCCAGGTGAGTTTCCTGTCAGCTGCGGGACTTGACTTCGGTGGGCCCGCCGCTCTGGGAGCCCCGGGGGGGGGGGCGGTGTGTGGTGTGAAGTGGGGGGGGAGCGGAGGTCCGGCCCCCCCCTGCCCATACTTGCAGCTGGCGGGGTGACGGGAGGTGTGGGGGTCGGAGGAAGGTCTGGCACTCGCCCGGCGAGGCCCTACGCGGCCCGTGCCCCCCTCAGGACTGTACCCCGCTGTCTCGGTGGTGCTTTTCCCCTTTTTTTGGGGGGGGGGAGTGCTCCGCACGCACCTGTTTCCCCCGCTCCCTGTCAGGGCCTCCAGGTGTGAAGAGGAACCTGCCTGGAGGGTTGTGCAAAGTTGGGGAAAAGATAGGGGCGGGTGTCAAAGTGCAAACTCACTTGGAAGATTTGCACCCGACCCCCCCCCACAAGGGTGACCCCAAGCCCCTTCCCCCCCCTCCTTGTAACTCACAGGCTCGCCATCCGCCTGGAGATTACCCCCCCACCCCATTTTGCCTGGCACCTTTCTGCCCGGTGTTTAGCTTTCTAGCTACTTCTGTATCTTTCCAGCTAGTCACCATCTCTTGACATTTACTGAGCAATTCATTCATGTCAAGTATTATTTACAGATA